AACGCGTTTCGGAATCTGAAAACGCCCTAAAACGCTCGAAAATTGAAAATTAATTTTCGCTCTGAAGCGTTTCTAGGCTATATGCGTTACGTTAAGGGTAAGGGTACGCAAAACCGCAACACTGCAGTGAGTCTGCTCTGATAAACATATGAAAGCTATTTGATGTTCGCGGCAAGTAAAGTTGACCATGAAACTTGGTGACTGCACAACTTTCAGAACTTTACTTTCTTCTTGGATATCTTGGATTCGCTCGACAAAGCTTGGACAAATCAATGTCCCAATAAGTGTTACAGATTTGTCCCAAGCGAATGTTGTGCACAATTGTGTCGTATTAGGACAAAATTTGTCCCATCTGATTTAGAGTTATACAAGAAAAATGTTTTAAAATCAGGGTGATGCCTCCTACTTATTATTCGCCAATCATGAAAAAGGAGTTGACCTAACCCGTTTGGCTCCTAAGTTTTACTTGGATAAGGAAGTCGACAACTCGAATTGACCCCCTGTGAAGAATTTGACATTTCAAGACATTTGATTGGTGAGATGACTCCTTTTGTGTCGAAGGGAAGAACTTACCTCAAAATGACAGTGAAAAATTTGCGTTAACTCGACTTACCTCTTTTTTCGCTAGGTTTTATGGAGGACAAAATGAAAATCTAGAAGACGGAGAATCAACGTTGACATAACCGATGACTCGGTAGTTGTCGCTTTTTTTCGTTCCTGGACCGTGTAGCAGTCTGCCAGATTACTGAGTGACTCTTTAAGCTCACATTAGGGATCATCCAGATACTACGCACATCATTTGCGGCCACGAACAACGCCAAGTTCAGTCTCTGCAAGCTCTCTCAGCGCCTGGTGGGTAGGCAACATCTTGCCTGCAGTGCATACATGTAGTGCGGGGTGGCCTACCCTGGGTCTTGCAGGCGCCAAGCTCGTGTCATTTGCCGAATTAATCGGAGAGCAGCTTTTTCAAAGCAGAAGAGTTGGGCTAAAAACGGCCGTACTGTCTAGACAATCCCTTGATCGCTTAGCAAATTTTCAGCTACACAGAAAATAAAATGATTGTGCTGCCGCTGCACTTACAAAGCCTAAAACCAGTCCAAAAGCAATTGGCAAGGCTGCAAGCCCACTGCCCTGTCTTGCCACACACCAGCTTCATACCGTTTCCCGTAGCGCATCACTGGAAAAACAAAGGTTCTAGAAAACACCTGGTGCTACTGCACTAGTGCCTTTGAAAGGGCACTAAAATTGCCAAAAATAGCGCCTTTAGGGGCCAGTCACGCCCTTGCAAATGCACTAATTCACTAAAGCCTGTAAAAGGGCATTATATGGCACCTTTGTTTTTCCAGTGCATTCTTCTGACAGGGCCGAGAATTTTTAGCTCACTGAACAAATCGAAATTCGATGTTAATGTAACGGGCTACCATCCTCTTCCTCATGAAAGAGGTAACTGTTATTGGCGTTGCTAATCTCGTCCCTGCTGTTAGGCCTACAACCCTCCGCATCCTACCACAGGTCATTGGAGACCTGCGTTACATGACTATGACCTCCTAGCCGAGCAGCCCCCCACGCCCGTGCCAATTATACAGGTCTCGCCAAGCCCAGCTACGCCACACCCGCAGCACTCACTATGTAAATTGCTTACGAACAATAGGTCCGTAATGCAAACCAAAATCTTCGTAGCTTACGAAGGATTTTGAAGCGTTGTATTACGAACTAATTGTTCCTAAGCTTACGAAAAAATAGTTCGTGATGCAAACCGATTATTCGTAACAACCTGTCTAGCCTTATAAACAATAGTTTTGCAATACAATTTCTTTGCAATACAAAGAACGAAAATTGTTCGTAACATTGCAAACCATTTAGTTCGTAAGCTTTTTAGAGTGCGCACCTGCTGAGGCCCCTGGCCAGGCCACCTGGTATAGCCGTGAGGATGAGAATGCCTGCCCGATACAGACCGTGGTTAAACGGATTTCGTGTCACACGAAAGTGCTGTTAAGCTTGGTATAAAACGACTAAAAAAAAGGGACCTCGGAAAACGCTCTAGCCAAAATCAATCGAGGACCTTTTTCGTAAGCTGCCGGACTTTGACCTGGCCTATGGTTGTTCTTCTTCTCACGCTAAATATACTTCTATGGTTTTGCGTAAACGTTCCTGCTAGGTTAAACCGTTTTGGACAAGTGAGCAAAATGTGCGCAGAAATGATTTCGCACAAGATGAATTTACAATAGTTTTCAAATCAACGCAGAAATGTGTGCAAATATGTGATTGCTTAAATTTATACAAAGAAAAGATGCAAATATCCAGTGAGTGTGCTCTTTCGTGTTTTGTCTACTCACACCGCGCACTTTCGTAGTTATACTGTACCACCGTACCACCGCATGCACGAGTGCGAGCAGGGCTGCCTATCCTCGCTGCCCACGGCTCCTTACGGCCCCGAGCGATTAGGCGACCCGCGCGCGCCCGTACAGTACGACTACGAAAGTTCGCGGCGTTAGTCATCTACCTGGTATACCCTTATTTTTTATATCAAAGTAACTTATACCCTAATGTACTTTAAAATCAAAGTCAAACGATAAATTCACACCCAATTACATAAATTAGGCGCGGCGTTTGATGGGGGTGACGCAGCCCCCCCCTTTTTTTTCCTCCGGTCAGCCCTGCCTCAGGAGCTGCCTAAAAGGAAGGCAAAAATCCCGTCTGTAGGCAACCCACAGCCCCGCGCAGCCGTCGCTTTCGGGTGATTTCACTAGTTTCGCGGCTTCCTCGGGCCCACTTCACGCTCGGTTCGGCCAACTTGCCTATCTCGGATCCTCTTATCTCGGCAAATCTGCACAGAAAGTGGCGGTTTTACCAGGGGGAGGGGCGGGTCCCCCCGGTCCCGGTCAGTCCTAGACGCCTGAAAGTAGGCAACATGCGCTTGCATATAGGCAACCCGGATTAAAACCCCGCAAAGAGCGAGCTACGCGAGCTAGAACCCTTCTTCGACCGGTGAGAGGGGCGTCGGCGAGGGCGTCGGGGTAGGCCTTTAGCTCGCATAGCTCGGACTTTGCGGGGCTCTAAGCCGGATGGCATCGCCCATCCGGTCAGCGGAGCCTACCCCCTAACAGAGGTTCGTCACTGAGACCTCATTGTTTAGTACACTGAATCACGTCACAATGATTAGTGTGACTAGTGAGGAAATGGCGTCAACATCACGTCATTTTGACGCATTATTCGTGACGAATCGCTGTAACTTGAATAAAACCGCCCCTCTGCAGGTGGCCAATCACCCACTTATGCTAGCGTGAAACGCAAAGCGCAGCCCAGCGGAGTGGGGGTACGCGCTCCGACTTAACATTGGCACATATTTTGTATGACATCTTCTTCAAAAGGGTCACATCATCCGTACGGGAGAGTCCGAACGTATGACAAGCCCAGAAAATGCTTTTCAACACTCGTCAAAACCAAATATGCACCAAGATGAGGTTAGGGCACGTACCCCCACTCCGCGTTTTTCACTCTCGTACCTAGAACTATAGCTCGTACCTTGCGGAGAAGTCGCGAGAATGGAAAGACACTATCCTCTTGGGAAGGGAGGGCTAGCGTCTCGCTCGCCCACAGGTGAAGAAGGTTGACTCTTGACGACGACCTGCGACAGCGGGAGCGGAGTCGGTTGTCGGTTTGTTTACAGCACACGGGAGCTGTCAGGCGCAGCAGCCGAAGCGCGTAGAAAGTCGGTCCGGCTCGGCTCCGTCCGCGCCTCCTCGACGAACAGTGATTTCAGACAATCAAGAGACAATTCCCTAGAAAAGTTATTGCTATCCCGAGTAGCGCCTAGCGCTAGCGAAAAAAAGATAACACATTGATCAGCGCATTCCTCCGCACTTCTTAATCCCCCCCCTCCGCCACCCCTCACCCCCTCTGCTTCACTTTTCCATTTTCTGCGCAGGGTGCAGTTAGTTAAATTTCTCATCTTGACCATAATACGTCTTTGGAATTTTAACCTCGCCAACGTTGAAGCAGACAGCTGACAGTTAACTGAAAATTGCGAATTGCAAATTTCTATCGTATTTTTCTCTTACACACTCTGCATTTCCGTCGTCTATCAACAACCATGTTCAGAGGACTGGTACTGTGAATAATATTCTGTTGTCAAACGCGGACGAAAACGTTTGATTTAGTGCGTTTGCTGTCTTTTGAGTTCTGCCAGTCTTTCTCTTTCAATTCCAATGCTGTTTGCATTCTTTTAAAAACACTAGATAGCGCGTCGTGATTTTTTCTTGGAACTGATGGTTGTTTATGTATTTGCTGCAATTTGTCTTTCTTGTTCTGCAGCTGACCTTCGGTATTGGGGTGTACACCGGAATGTATCTTTCTCAGAATTATGATGTAAGTGACATCTTATTGTTCCAGCTTTTCTAGAGTTATAATCAAATCAGTATGAATGATTTTTTTATAAATGAAACGTTATTTTACTAGGTACCAAAAGTGGACGAACCAGAAAAATTACTACAGAAAATCAAAGACTTTGCTGATAGACACCGGAAAGATTAAATAGTGGTTGAATCATGTATGTTCACTTGCCGTTTGTATCATAATTATGGCGATCGCCTCCCCGACATTTGGAAACTTACTGTTTTCTTGTCACTCGTTCTGTCAAATTGTATATTTTGTTTTTTTTATTTAGAATGTGTGTTTGCGAACTGTGATAAGATGTTGATAATAATGAGGAGCTCTGTGAAGGGGAATGTTTGATTATTGCAATTATTAACATTATTTTCTTTCTCTTGTTTTGTGTTTCCAAACATTGGAGATAGAACGAGAGTTATGACCTGACTCACTTGCCACTGGTAGTTTTAATTTACCTTAATCCATAAGATCAGGAACCATTAATAAGTATACAAATAAATCTTGATAAGATCATGTGGGTAGTTTTTATTAACTTTTAAATAATAGACAAGTCATACATACACTATTCAGTCATATATGGATACTTTCATTTAATTGTAGATTTTGCAGTCAATCATACAAAAACTTTTGCAGAATCCTTGGGAAAAATAATAATAAAAAAAAAAAACAGCAATGAAAGAATTAACTGCACTATTGAATTATTAGCTGGAGTTGATATAAGACTTTAAAACAAATGCACCACAGAAAATAAGTGTCATAAATGGAAGTTGAACATAAATTATTACATACCTGGAAGTTGAGTGCAATAACAGAAAAAACAGTTACCAAATAAAAGTTCAAGATTAAGGCTGTATCAAATTGAGAGAAATTACAGATCTATGTTACTCAGGTTATTCCTGCATTCTGTTGTTTCAAAACTGTTTCAGTCAACATACTTTGCAATAAATGCGACTTCAGTGGAGTAATCAGGACCAAACAGCATAAACAACCTTCCTGATATAGATCTGTTAGTTATCTGTTATTTCTCTGAAGGCAATACAGCCTGAGTTCTAGAGTCAGAAAGTAAATACACATGTGGCCTATTATTCGTAGGCAAATAATTTTTGATAAAATATTCATAAGGGTTACAATGAAACTGTCTTACAAATGCTTTTTAATGATCAAGCTGCAAATGTTCTATTCCTGAAACCTCAATTTAAGTCAGTATAGAGACATACCACCACCTAAATTTTCTAGCCTGACAGGCGGGTCTATGAATGCCAACCAGTCTGAAGAATGGGATGGCAACAAACCCATGGATTGGCATTTATAAAGGGCTAGAAGCATACCCACTATGTTACCAAGAAAGTAGACAAGTTTCTGCATTATAGCATGATTTCCCTCTATCATTTTGAATGCTGTAAAGAATAATAACATTAAGGGTCATTGAAAATTATAAGCTGCAAAAATGAAATAAGGTGTTTGCGGTATTTGTTCTTAAGCTGCACTCTTTTTACTGAATTTGAAACCAAAGAGTATGGGTATGCGAGTTTTTTCTGTGACTCCCCTTTAAAAACTTGGGGTGCAGCTTAGAAATATGAACGTCTAAGAATGAGATAGACACGGTAATTCAAACTGTCAATAGATTTGTACTTACTACTCTGTAAAGTAAAGAGGGCCTTAAAGGGTCGAATTAACAACATGCCAACCATCATTATAGGGAATGGAGAAATAGAGTTGCCAGCCATGTACATTATGAAGAGGTTCATGGGGACCTGAAAAAGTGATACAAATATACTGTGATGTTGCTAAAAGAAATATAAAGCTAAGGTCAACCCCCGTAAAATAACATGCAACCTTATTACTGATAGATACAAATGTATACAGTGATAGTGAACCTACTTGTTTCAATGGCGCTAGAGCAAGTTCCCATGATTTCTTGATTATCAAGTGAGAGGGATCATTGTCTTTTGATGTTTCAGTATGCGCTTGACTGACAGCAGGATTGAAACCAGGAGGGAAAAGAGCATCATGATTTGTACTTCTTCTGCAAAGTCAGAATTTTTAAAAGTCTAGGCAGTTGATAGGAAATTAATGGCTACTTTCAAATCAAACAATTTAATAAAATAAAGAATATGGCTGTTCAGAACTCCTCACAGATGGTGATTGTGCCCAGTCAGAAAATGCTACACCTAGAAAACGTCTGAAGTTGGTCAAGGTCTAATTTTGGACCATATAGACGTCATAAAAAAGACCTTGGCCAAACGTAAATGTCTTCTAGAAGAAGTATTTCTGACGGGTTGATTTGAAGATAGAATTCAAGTAGAATGTGGATGCGGCTCTCATACCTGGCAGTGAAATCCAGAGCCCATTTGAACTTTTTAGCGTTTCCACGATTGGATGACATTTTTGGAAATGATGAAAGTACAACTACAAATAAGTGAAATTCAAACACTGGAGCCCACTGAGGGAATAAAAATGTAAGTAAGTTTTTGTGATTTGCTAATCGCTATGCATACGACTGACAACACAGTCAGTGTAGAGGTGGATTTACGATCACAGCGCAGCGGGCGTATCTCTAACACCACCCTGCTTCTTCATAAACTAATTGACGATGAGAGGTGGACGCGCCCGAGCTAGCGGTAGAACTGTGAGCTTGCAGCAACTTATTGCAGCGTTGCATCGAAAATCCACCTCAGCTCCTCACAGACCTCTCACAGGAACGTAAACAACCAGTGAAATGGACAGGGCCAAAGGGGAAACTTACAAGAAGTAATGACCAGAAGTATCGTTCGTGACAAATTTAAATATTGATCAACGTTAGTGAAACGAAAAGACGTCTCTGATAGATGTAGTTTGTAAACAAACTCAAACTAGTCACTAGTCTCTCTTTCTTTCTGCTACTGCTACTATACACACTCATGCTTATTTACACTCAACGTACTATGGGCACTCTTCACCCATGTACCAACCTGAATCAACAATCTACTCGCAGTCCTCGCCACATAGGACGTACCTGATGGCATGCCCTCCTCTCAGTCCCTCGGTACACACCAGATTTGACTGAATCGTGCCATAAATGCCTGGTGCACGTAAGTCTTGCCGAGGTTGGTTGGCTTCGTTGATTGTTTGCGAGTTCAAGTATGGAGTTGGTTCAAGTTCAAAACTCGCGGTCCAGCGCGTCCCCAAGTCGGGATTCTTCAAGTCGGCCCTACGGGCGCCAAATGTCTCGGACATCATAAAACTCATACAATTCGAAAGCTCGCTCCTTTCTCTGCGATTGCTCATCCCTGCTAAACCCCAAAATTTCCTACAGAATGGAGCTACGAGCTAAAGAGACGAGCCTTGGCCCGAAGCGACCAGCGCTGCGCCGCGGCCCGCCAACGAACGACTTGCCGGAGGATCGAAGGGGTAAGCTTTCGCTCCTTCCAGGTCCGGGCTCCAGGTAGCTCTAGCTCTGTACTTTACTGTGGGCCCACTCCAAATTTTCCTATCAAATTTTATACATTCTACCGTTTTGAAACATTTCGCATCCTTTAGTTGTTGTTTTGCGAATCGCAGAACTTCTGCTCTTCTCCCGCCGATGGTCGAATCTTTTAATTACTTTTGTGCTGGCGTTAACAAAAATATTTAATCCAGAAGAGAGGTTAAGTGGTCCGCGCAAATCCGCCAGTTTCTTCTGATATTTGTTTTCCCTGAAGTTTGTACAACTCTGTCTTTCAGTTTGCAAGACACGGTGCTCGGGAACTTTCTGCCCGTGAAGTTTGTCGCCTTCAGAGAGAGAGTCCGTTTTTTCCCCGCACAGTGTTGTCGCCTTCAGAATGGCGAAGTGGTGATCGGAAAATTGTACTGAGCAGCAGTTCAGTATGACACCACCTCTGTTTGTGAGTGAAACTGCCTGTGCCACATGCACCTGGATCGGTGGTACTCAAGATTCGGAAATCTCATTCGTTCCAAATAATAATGTCTGATAACAGTGGCATAACCTGCGAGTAGCAGACAGCATACGTTCCGCTCCCCTCCCCTCCCCTCCCGCTCTTCCCCCACTTCCCACTCCCCCACTCCAATCGGTGTTTCTCTGTGTTGGCGGCTATATGATTCAAAAGACCATGGATGTAAACAGTTGGTCAAGGCCTGCCAAGCTAGCCACATCTGGCTGGGCTTTAGTCATGGCAAAAGTGCCACATGTTGACGTACATGTGGAACAGGAGAATCTGTATGATGGGGCAGCTCAGGTCATCGCCTCCATCAGGCCCAAATGGAAGTTGAGTGACGTGAAATACAAGGTAAGTTTCTGCTTGTCTTTTTGTTTAGATTTACTAGAAAACTGCTGCGCTTTATCTTGTGTCAATTGTATACCTTTATCATGGATACTAACTATTACTGCTCGGGTGTCAAGTTAAGGGAAATCCCAGACCTTACGACCACACTCATGGTCGCCAAGCAGTGTAACATTTAAACCAACTCAAGGGTACTTAGATAGGCAAATTTCTCTGGCCACTGAGAGCTACAAATGATCTCGATAAAGTGTCAAGTTACCAAACCCCTCAAAAAAGTCATGCGTGCAAGCTTATTCTTTTTTATACTCCGTTTTTTTGGGGGGGTTGTTTTTTTTTCTTTCCAAAGCAATTTGCATTTAAAACACTCTGATCTAATTACTCATATCACATCACTACTTGTACGCTCGGGTAAAGTGTTGACACAAGTGGCTATCAGCCGATTGGTGGCAGGATTGATTAACTTGTCGGGGTATGCGGGCCAGCCGGCCGTGCTTCGGCGTGCGTTATGCTTTAGCGTTACTATCACCGGGCGCCGCCACGCCACGCCACGCCCCGTCCCGCCACGCCCCGTGGGGAAGTGCCAGCGCCAGCGCCCGAGTCGTGACCCACTTATCAATGCGCCAGGCGAATTATCAGCCGCGGGTGTTTCGGAGTTCATTGAACACGATGGCGAGGCGGGGAGTCGGGTGCAACGCAGAGAAATGTCAATCTCTCTCTTTCTCTCTGTGTCAACATCCTCGACGCACCTCTTCTCTAGCCATTGTTCTCGCCGCGACGATGGAACGGGTTTAATCTGCCCCGGTGTTCTTCCACCCGCGTGAGCCTCGGCGCAGCAGCGGGCAGCCGAGCGGGGAAGACCAAAGCACGAACGGCCCCGGCGACGTGCCAAACACCTTGGGGGGGGGGGCAGAGAGTACTAGGGCTGTGCGGTGATTGGATTTTGAAAACGGTGACGGTGTTTCGAATCACCGCTGGTTCTTCCGGTGATCGGTGACCACTTTTGCACCGGTGATTTTGATAAAACCGGTGACTTTTTCAACACCGGTAAATTTGTAATCACCGGTAATTTAAAAATCACCGATTATTTTCTCTATGAAGCCTATAAAAAATATCCTTTACCAGTTAAAGAACAAAGTCAACGGAAATTCGGGGTTTTATTCTTGATTTTGTCTGTTTTAAATAGAAAGGTATTTTTAATATATACTTCTAGAACATAATCATGCTAGAACAAAAAAAGCAATTAGTCGGATAAGTGCGGATAAAGTGATCGGTGATTAACCGGTGTTGAGTGCCTAACCGGTGAACAATAACGAACCGGTGATTTTTAGAAATCGGTAAACCGGTGATTTCAAAAACGAGATTCGGTGATGCGGTGTTTGAAATCACCGAAAAAATCACCGATAAACCGGTTCACCGCACAGCCCTAGAGAGTACGTCCGTTTTCCTCGGATCTATTCGGCTAATGACGCGGGTGTTGCCTAGCTAGCTCGGCGCCTGCGAGACTCGACATAGGCCACCCCGCAGTACACGCGTGCTCTGGAGGCAAGGTGTTGATGTTGCCTACCTGGCGGGCGCTGTGAGAGCTTGCATAATGCATGCCGATCGAACTTGGCAGGCCCGCCACCACACGGCGAATGATGAGGCCAGGTGAGACATGACGCACTCACTTCTATGGGGCTCGGTCGCGCCGAGTCGTGTCTTTGCGGCGTCCACTCTACTTTTCTGACAAGTTTTGTCTGTGCGGTGCTTTCGAAAGGGGTGTGGGTTGTTGTTGTTGTTTTTCAGTTGACGTGCTTGCCCGCCCCTCCTTTCCCCCTTTTGCTAGTGGATGGGATGGGAGTCAAAGTGAAATGACTGATTTCCTGCTAGGGAAGGACCCCCCCCTCCCCCTGCGTTCTCGTTTTCAGCGACACTGTCAGCCAAGTCGCTTTCGTGGTCACGTAATAAACATCGGATGAAACATTTTGCCAACATTTGGCTGAACTAGAGACTGGACGCTTTTTGATTTCTGCGTCGGAAAAGCAGTGTTTCCCTGGCTAGCTTGCCCGCGCGCATCTTAGTGAGAAATTTGTTTGGACATCGTTTCGACATCGTTTCTCACGTCCTTACGACATAAAAGTGGGCATGAAGTCAACGGCTTTTCGACATTTGGTGTCGTTTCGACGTTCAACTGCCGAAAAGCCGTTGACTTCATGTCCACTTATATGTGGTAACGACGTGAAAAACAATAATGTCAAAACTATGCCATTGGAAATATTTTTCACTGTGACTCTCCACTCCGACCTTGTCGGACACGCGTTAAAAGTTGTGCTGCTGCAGACACCTTTTACGTATTGTCACGCGACAAAATTGCCACTACGCTGACACTTTGACGTCCACGGGTGTTTCAGCTTTTCACGGATGGCATAACCAACAAGCTGATCCACTGCTCCGTTCCGGACGATGTGCTCCTCATCAGGGTGTACGGCAAGAACACGGACCTGCTGATCGACCGCGGCGCCGAGGTGAGCGAGTTGGCAAGACAACGTTACACCTCTGGGTATGACCAAGCCCAGCCAGAAATGCATCGACGTTTATCAACGTAAACGTCGAATCAACGTTGATTGACCAATATATGGTCCAAATTTCTACGTTCTATCAACTTAGACGTCGATTCAACGTTGAGTCAACTTTCAATTTCTGGCTGGGAAGGGTCCCTCACTTTTGTCGATCACTGTACACAACGAAATTCCATCTTATTCTCAGCCACCTTTATTCAATTCCAGTCGTTTTTTGGTCATTTTTAATCATTGTTTCAGATTTTTAGCAGATGGTACCTTAAAACCCCTTAGACTTAACAAAATAAAGAATATATTAAGTATCTTTAAGGTGTCCGTTAGCTTTTACTCCCGATACGGCAAGAGAACCAAGCGGAGACCGGAGAACAATTTCTTTGGCGCTGGGGGAACCGTGACCGTGTGCCTGAGTGAGTGTCGCGCCAGGCCCCAGGCCCCTTACCTTCCTGTCTAACAATACTGCGCCAGTCAGACCCCTTCCCCTCCCAACAATACTGGGCCACCGGCCGCTAATTTGCCACCCGGCCCGCCCCCTATCGCTCCTCCTCTACGCCGCTAAGTCCACCAAATTGCAAGATTGCAACAGACTGCAAGTAACAAGCAGCCATAAACAAATGACAGCTAAATATGAGAGAATATTAGAACACAAACCGGTCCTTAGATTTGTATCATCTGCTTTACAAGGTCGATTTTCGATTGAGATTTTTTTTTTTTCAGCGATGACGCAGTCAATTTTAATCAAGTCTCGGTCATTATTCCAATTTATTTCAGTCACCGTTAGTCATCGTTCATCAATTTTTGGTCATTCGGTTATTTTGATTTTATCTATTTCTGTTTACTAACGGTACTTACACGGAAGTTCGAAGTGCGGTACCTCTCTGGTATGACGCGTGCTGCATCCTCGTGACATTTGACTTTGCGCAGACCCGCAACATCAAGCTGCTGGAGCGCGCGCGCCTCGCGCCCCGCCTCTTCGCCACCTTCAACAACGGCCTGGCGTACGAGTTCGCCCCGGGCGCCACGCTGGACGCGGCCTCGGTGCGCGACCCCGCCGTGTTCCCGCTGGTGGCGCGGCGCGTGGCGCAGCTGCACGCGCTCAGCCCCGAGGAGGACCTGCTCATCCAGCCGCACCAGCTGCGCCCCGTCCTCTGGGACATCCTCGACAAGTACCTGTCCCTGCTGAGGGACGGCGCCAAGGCCGGCGCCCAGGAGCATAGGTCGGTCCTCATTCTTGTTTTAATGTAGGGGACCATCCATAAAGTACGTCCGTCAATCGCCCTTTCGAACCTCTCAAGTTCAGACTATGCTATGTCCCATAGCGCCTGCTGGGTAGGCAACATCGTGCCTGCTGTGCAGGCGTGTACTGCGGGGTGGCCTACTCCGAGGCTCGCAGGCGCCGAGCTCCCGTATTTTGTCGAAGGAATCTGAGAAAAACGGACGTACTTTCTGGACGATCCCTAACACGAACATTTTAAAATGACCCAAATCTTAAAGAGTGTTTTGTTTTCCTTTTTTATTTTCTTTACTTTTATTTTATTTTAATTTTGAGAAATGTTTAAAATTCTGTGACAATATTTGAATTTTCTGCTTCTAGATTTTCACAAGATTTTGGAGGACTAGAACGTCTTGAGTCAGAAATACGAGACCTTCAGAATCAGCTGTCACCTTTGGGCAGCCCTCTGGTCATGTGCCACAACGACTTACTGCTTGCCAATGTCATTTTGAGTCCAAACCGTTCAAACGTTGTGTTCATCGATTACGAATATGCAGGTCTTAATTACCAAGCATTTGACATTGGTAATCACTTTGCTGAGTTTGCAGGTACGTTGAAATGTCTTGCAAATATTCCTTGAATTTTATTCACGGGTCAGGTTTTGTGATTTTTATAAATATTTGTGACTAGGTGTTGCCACTGTTGATTACACATTATATCCTGATAAAGATCTTCAAACAAAGTGGTTGGAAATATATTTGGAAGAATACAACAAGTTACAAGTAGGAAATAACACTTCCACTAAAGTAAATCGGAAAGATGTGGAACAGCTCTACGTTCAAGTTAATAAATTTGCTCTAGCTTCACACCTTATGTGGGGTTTATGGGCATTGGTACAATCCGAGCATTCAGCTATTAAGTTTGATTTTTACGAGTAAGTTTTCAGAATATATATTTTTACATCTTGTATTTAATTACTATCTATTAAAGACTAACTTCATATAAACTATCTGTTTTTATATTTCTGCAGATATGCTACTATTAGGCTAAAAGAATACTTTGCCAAGAAGAGCTTATTTCTCTCACTGGAGATAAGTAGCTGATCCAATAAACAAGCACCAGTGAGTATAGCAAATATTGGAGCTCATCTACATTCAAGCTCTCTCGTAGTCAATAGTAGACTCCTTAGATAGGGTAGCCAAACTCAAGTAGGTAAATCAAATTTTTACTAGGTATTTCAATGCAGTTGGGATTTTAATCGAACAACCAGTGTCATATTTTTATTGTTTTTAAACGTGTTTTAAAAGCAGCTGCATAACATGCAGTAAGGTTTTTAAAGTCCTTTTTCTCTTTGGGATTTTAAATGATAATGTATTGCTACATTGTACTGTAAAATGCAAGTCACTTTACTGTTCTACATTCCCAGTGTAAGTAGACTACAGCACCTTCTCGCTAAAGTGATCAATGTGGATGTAAAATTTTCCCTTTAATTGACCTTTAGAGGGATTCTCTTTATACCCATGTGTACACCTTGGGTGAGCGTGTAATTGTGATATATTTACAAAACGTCAAAGCTCCATTCCTTCATGTATTCTATCTGTGTTAATGTAAGTGTTTGTGGGAAAGTTATTTTTCCTTGTGGTTAGTTCATAGGTCTTCCACTAAGTTTACTGGAATGGTAAAATAATTTTACATATTCACTATTTCAGCACCCATTAAAAATTTTAAATGACATCTATGCTTTTCCTAAAATTGACACACATTTGACTGACTATTGCCATTCCTATGAATCAAGCATCTTCTTTAGTTTTTTTTTCTTTTTTTTTTACTTCTCATCCACACATTGTTTCTTCTTAAAAGAGGAACTTTTCTCAACCTGTCTGGGAAATATTCCAAAGCTATTCTGTAAGTGTTAAAAGCCTGTCTTAAACAGCATAATATAAAATTTATGCTCTGTTATAACTTTACTCCCTAGGTTTATGCAGGAAGTGCAAACTTTATTTACTTGTTGTTTGTTTTTGTTGTTTTACTGAATGATCAGGATTGACCAATATTATTTCCATGTTATTTCTTTATAGTTGCAAAGTATAGTTCACTTTGTACTTCCTACAGCACCTATGGTTAGATTCCTGTAAAATTTATTGGTCTTCCCATATTATTTGTAGTAGTCATCGATGCAAGTATTGTGGTGTTCCGGTATTGGAAATAGTGAAATTTGGTTTGTGGGGCATATCATGGACATTTGTGTATTTCTTTTATTCTGTTACATTCCAAACAAAGGAAGTTAAGGATTACTGCTATTTACTTGAGTCATTTTTATTAGTGAGACAGACATAGAGGTGGTATGGTAGTTTCCTCTATTGGTAAATGAAACCAGTGTCTAAAACTCTGTGATAATCTATTGTATTTCTTCACGTACTCACATTCTATTCTTTATTGATTATTGACTTTACCGTGCGTTGCAGCAATTTTAGAAACGTACTAGTGTTTTTATAGTCCACCCTGCTAGGTACAAGGAGACAACACGGACCATATTATGAATCATAAAATGTTTCTCTTTAACCTTCCTCTTAAATGCTTTCAGTTTATTCCTTGAAGAGTTATATTGGAATTTCTATGACTTGTGTCATACATTTTCAAGCAATGTATTCTTATGCTTTATCCCAATTGTATGTTTTCTGTGAATTCCATAAATGGTTTGTTTAATTATTTGAATCTAAATAAAATTAATTGTGTTTGATGAATTTTTGGCATGGTCATAGTGATTTTGTAAAATTGTGTTTGTCCTATTTATTTTATTGGTAGTAAAAGTATTGCACCCCTGAAAGTTCTTTGTCTCATTTTGTGAGCAAATCTATGTTCTTGTTTCTATTTTGACAAACTTTGCACCTAATAAACTTGAGAGAAATAAATGACCAAAAAATTGAATTTTTGTATTTCCCGCCCTCAAGTCTACATAGGCGGTCCCATTCCTCCCCTTTGTGTTGTTGTGTTGTGTCACAGTTAGTCACAGGTTTTCGTCTGCTAATTATTTCTTGTGGCACGGCTCGAAAAACCACAAAAATATTTTCTGGTCATCAGTTACGATTTATTTATGATTTCTCCTGTAATGAAATCGGGTGAAGTAATGCAAAAGACATAGGGTTTGTGAGACCATATTGTGAAGAGACCCGAGAGGTTGCAATTGCGTAGAATTATGAGTGTTTTGGGGAGGTTAGTTACAGCTGCAGCCGGATTAGGTGGTTTAGGCGGTTTAGGGATTCTGTACTCTTCCTCTGGGGCAGGTGACAACAATAGAATTGTACATGCTGCACAGATTATAGGAGAGCGAGTTTGTGCCGAAAAAAGTAAAAGCTTTTCAGTCTTGAAAGATGTACCCCGAGAGCAGCTGTCAGTTGCAAAGTGGGACTACAACTGGGACAGGTGGGTTAATGACTAAATGTTTCTGAATGTTCATACCAAAACCGCTTTTTTACTCTTTGGTGTTTATAACAATTGATTGAATCTTTAGAAGAGACCCATCTCACATGGTAGAAGCTTCTAAGGGAGGTGAGGACGACGAGCGCTTCAAGATGGAAGTGCAGTTGAAGAAACCTAAAGTAACTCGACACCTATTCCTAATCCGTCATGGACAGTACAATTTAGATGGAAAAACAGATAAGGAAAGATATTTAACAGAAAAAGGTAGGTTGAACCCTGATATTTTATTTAATCCCTACTAGCTTTGATTACTAGCAACAATGTTTTTGCAGGTGTTGAGCAGGCAAAGACCACCGGTAGAAGGCTTGTCGAGTTAAACCATCCATATCAGTTGATGGTTCGCTCAACTATGACACGAGCTCTGCAGACAGGCGAAGAAATTCTTGCCCAGATGAAGCCAGGATCTCTACCTTTCAGAGATGACAGCATGTTAATGGAAGGTGCACCATGCCCTCCAGAACCACCAAGCTTTTGCTATTCACCTGAAAGCCATGTTAGTAGATATTCATAGAGTTAACTGAGTTTTACTGATACCATGAAGGCTCATCTCTCGACTATAAGTTATAATGCCTTCAACCAATAGGTAACATTATTTTTTCTTCCTTCTTAGGAATATTTTCAAGATGGTTCTCGAATTGAAGCAGCTTTTCGAAATTATGTACACAGAGCTGACTACAGGCAAACCAAAGATTCTTATGAAATATTAGTGTGTCATGGAAATGTCATCCGTTACTTTGTGTGCAGGTACAGTTTTAGTTTTTTGGTTCTTCAAACTATTACAATAATTGATGAAATGGCGAGTTTTTAATTTAAGTTAAAACTGCACTTTCTCTCAACACAGGGCCCTCCAGCTTCCCCCTGAAGCTTGGTTGCGTATTAATCTAAGCCATGCAAGTATTACTTGGCTCAGCATTATGCCAAGTGGATGTGTCTCCCTTCGATCCTTAGGTGACACAGGGCACATGCCACCAAATCTAATCACCTGAAGATTGCAGAAAGACTTCTGAGCAGAACTGAGTCAATAAGTATTTAAGACCATTCAAGACGATTATAAATCTCTATCAAGTTGCTTGATCTCCTTATGTGTGTGATTTCTCTATTACTATTACTATGGTTATTTAATTGATATTGTGAGTTTTACAGTTTTTTCCAAGTTAAATACAACATAGGCAAAACTGATATGTGTTTCCCCTGTTTGTGCCTGTAACATTTTGACAATAAAACAGATAGAACGAAGTGTCAGTCACCATTGCTGAAATTTGGTAACCCACTTATCTCAACATTCAACATCTTACAAAAGCTACATGGATGGCTATTAGTTTATTGGAGAGCCCATAGGTGAACACTTTCCGAAATAGAGGTTTCTTTTCCGGTCTCTACCACGAATTTTTGAGGAAAAACAAAATGGTTGGAGGGAATTCTTGCCGAATCAGTAAGGCAGTTAAAACGAAGCGGGCAAATAAAATGCCCCTGATGCAGGGCGCCGTAACGTAAAGTAACGCATAAAGAAATGCTGACCAACAAAAATTACCTTTCCACTTTTCCGGCGTTTAGGAAGCGTTTTCAGCATTTGAAACACGTTTTTGTATGGACAACTGGGACGTGTGGGCGACACAAACAAGGGATCGTCCAGAAAGTCCGTCCGTTTTTCTCAGATTCCTTCGACAAAATACGGGAGCTCGGCGCCTGCGAGCCTCGGGGTAGGCCACCCCGCAGTACACGCCTGCACAGCAGGCAGGATGTTGCCTACACAACAGGCGCTATTGGTCCCAGCATAGTCTGAACTTGGGAGGTTCGAAAGGGCGATTGACGGACGTACTTTATGGATGGTCCCCAAACAATCTCTTGCCCGACGCTGCTCGGACGCCCTGGGCCCCGGGGCAGGCCGCTTTTATTTACACAGCTGCTCGGCGGGTTGGCCTACCCGGGCGCTGCTGGGGGCCGTCTCCAGTGAGAAATGGGAACGTGGATTCAATTAACATCGAATCGAAGTCGAAATATCAAAAAGATATGGATTCGGAGGACAAAATGACGTTTTTGGCTCGACTCGATACTCGTCTATGCCCACGACATCGACATAGTAAAGAGAAAGCCGAAAGTGTTTGAAACAAGGAGCAGAGAAAACACTAAATTAATTTGGTATTAAAAATACCAGGTGGCTGATTAACCCCGCGCACTTCTGTAGTTAGACTGTACCGCACGCACGCGGGCGGGTTGCGTACTCGCCCGGCCCGTAAGGCACCGTGGACAGGGGCGATAGGCAAGCCCGCCCGCATTCCTGCATGCGGTACAGTCTAATTAGAGAAGTGCGAGGGGTTAATCAGCCACCTGGTATATTCTCGTTCTTTATTTCTTTCCCTAATTGGTGTATGAAATTCATACATTTTGCCTACACGGCATGGCATATTGAAACGTGTCACAATGAGGGAAGGGGGGAAGACCACACACGTCTCCTTGCACCTCACCTGTTTTCTAAGATTTTAGTGGCCCACCGTTGGCTCGAATTGGCTGAGGACGATTATATAGGTCACCGTCGACGCGAAACCCTGAAGCACAATGCAGTGATGATAACAGCCGGTAACAAAACATAGCTATGGTGCGTCACTGATCAATTTTGTGAATTCGTTCTCGTTTTGAGTTTTACCGCTTTCATGGTCGCCAAGTCGTAGTGTATCAGGCCAAAAATCCCAGGGCGGTTGTCCTGCCTCCGTATTTGCTGAGCAAAGCCCTGAAGCTGTCGGATCAGAGAGCGGAAGAGTATAACTGAACGACTTGAGAATCTCCCGGCGGTAGTTTGACTGTCGCGACTTACCTCCAGCTTTGTTTTAGTGCAGAGTTGAGGGTTGGAGACCAAGAAGCCCCGCAAAACGCAATACATTCGTCCGTGCTGACAACAAAAGATAGGGCGTCGTTTAAACACGCGCGCGCTCTCTCGTATGTGTGGCCGTGTGTGGCTACATTTCACAGAATTACGCTCTTACGTGGTCACTCAACTTCTGGCCCAAGACGCACATCCCGCAGAACACCGTGAGCTCGAAGACGCCCCACACATACAGCCACGGGTTCAGCAGGGGATTCGGTTGAACATAGCCGACTTCAGCCGCCAGTAGTCGAAGATGCGAGGCGCCGAGGTAGAGGCACACCACGGCCTCCATGAGGACGTGGGCGAGGCAGCTGAGGTAGCACCAGCCGAGCGCCGAGTTGTGGTGCAGCACCATGTCGTGCAGGAACTGCTGTCGCACCCGCAGCTCACGGAGCAGCCCGACGTGCGCCGCGGGGGACTTGTTCGCCTCCGCCTCCGAGACCCACCCCCTCACGTGACTGCTCCCGTCGGTGGCGAGGCCCACGTGCAAGGCGGTGATGAGAAGCTGCATGATCCCGACGAAAATCATCGCCGTGGTCGGTGCGAAGTCTCCCAGTACGTGGGACAACATGTGCGTCAGCGATGCGGACAGGACGTACGTCGAGGCGGCGGTCATGACCACGAGGCCGATCATGTAGGCCGGCCCGACTATGGCCACGGCCATGGCCCCCGGAACCGGGGGCCGGCCGACTCGGCTGTAGAGCAGCATGCACTCGGTGGAGAGACACACGTCCTCGCAGCGCACCAGCAGCACAACCTATAAGGCGCCCCAGTGAGAAATCGAAGGTAACGATATATCGAAACGGTATGGAAATGACTTCGCCGATGTTTTCGCATATGGGACGTCATTTCGATAAAGTTGCGGTGATTTACCTAAATCGCACACTTTGGGTCTACAACGTCACACGACGAACAACACAGACCGGCGCGACTGTTTTTCGCTAACCTGCGAGACCACCGACGTGACGAGCTTGACGCCCATGTCGTAGAGGATCAGCAGCATGTTGTAGTCGATCTTGCCCGCGTCCTCGTGACTGGCCTTCAGTTCCAGGATGGCCTGGACGTTGTGGAAGGTCCTGACCGCGAGCACCAGGCAGCCGTACCAGCGGAGGACGGGCGACGGCCGCGGGGGCCAGCCGCTGGTGCAGTTCATCCCGGACGCGGAGAGCAGCGCGAGCATCGCGCGCCACTGCCGCGCCCAGTGGCGCGCCCAGCCCGGAGGGGCCGGAGGGGACGGAGGGGACGGGCGCTTGTGCTCTGCGGCGGGCAGGACGTCCATGACTACTACGAGCTACGAGCGCTCGCCCGAGCACTCGCCTCACCAGAGCGACGATCGATAATCCATTAAGGACGATTAAAAGAGATGTGCGCCCCTTCAGAGGCACCTACTTTCCTCTCCCCGGCTTTTCGCATATGGGACGTCATTTCGATAAAGTTGCGGTGATGTACCGAAATCGCTCGATTCTGTCGTTAAAGGGTTCAAAGCTACACTGTTAAAAATCCTGTACCAAAGTACAGAAAAAGTACAGGATGCCGTACAGGATAAGGTACAGGACACCCATACTTTATTACTGTAGTGCCCATAAGGCTCCATGTTAAAAATTCCTGTACTCTGTACTCAAAACACCGTACTTAGCAAGTGCAGGAAGACCGTGAAACAAGTTGACCAATAAAGTACTGTTCAACTCCTGTGCTTTTTTCAAACAGTGTAAGGTACTTTGGGATCGTCCGGAAAGTACGCAAGCTTTTTTCAGATGCATCCTGTAAATTACGGTAGCTTTGGCGCCTGCAAGACTCGTAATAGGCCAGCCCGCAGTACACGTAAGCACTGCAGGCAAGATGCTGCCTACCTATCAGGCGCTATGCGAGCTTAAGGCTGAACTTGTACCGGATGTGTAACTGTGATTACGCAGCAGTGTTGAGGGATTGCATACTCAATATGGCCGCAGGGCCCATGGCCCACTACGGGTATAAAGAGTGGGCAAACCCGCAACACTGCTGCGTAGTGCGTATTCACAGTTACACCCGGTACTTGCTAGAAGATCATTCTTATCCAAGAGCCACGTGGACTCCTGCCGACAGTAAAATATCAAATATTGGGGAACGCTATTGATAAGTATACTAAGGCCCTTAAAAACCCGACCCGTCGATACCGGGGCAACCCGGGTAGGAACCGGGTCAACGGGTTTTCCCGGGTACCCGGGGTACCTGGGTAAACCCGGTGGATTCGCGCCTGCGAGTAGGCAATTTCACATGCTCGTATGTCAAATTGCCTAGCTATAGGCGCGGGGCAGCCGGGTAATACGCCGAGTACCCGCGAAAACCCGTCTACCCGGGAAAACCCGTCGACACGATTCCTACCCGGTTGCCCGGGTAAGCGGGTTTTTCAGGAGACTGGTCGTGGCTCACAAATAAAGGTTAGTCACAAGAGAAATCTATCGACGTCTTCGTCGTCTCGACGACGAACTCGACTAATTTTGTCGAAAATCTGTAACTGTAAGAGATAAACCCGTAATCTAAGGGTATACTTTAGGGCTCTTATTTGTACCCTGGTACCCGAAAACCCGTCTACCCGGGAAAACCCATCGACACGATTCCTACCCGGTTGCCCGGGTAAGCGGGTTTTTCGGGTACCAGGGTACAAATAAGAGCCCTAAAGTATACCCTTAGATTACGGGTTTATCTCTTACAGTTACAGATTTTCGACAAAATTAGTGGAGTTCGTCGTCGAGACGACGAAGACGTCGATAGATTTCTCTTGTGACTAACCTTTATTTGTGAGCCACGACCAGTCTCCTGAAAATTTTCTCACTGTGGAGGCCTCCCGGGGTAACGCAAGGGTACGTTGGGTGGCACGAAGCCCCCGCACTGAGGATGGCGGGCCGCCGTCTTCACAGAGCTGCTCGGCGGGTTTGCCTACCCCGCGCGCAGCAGGCGACGCCACGTGGAACACCGTCAAATATATTCGCCTTACCATGTCGCGCTCAACAGCTGGGGCCCAAGGCACAGGCATACAACGGCCTCCATGAAGCGCCGTGCGCGAGGCAGTAGAGGAAGACCGACCGAACGCCGAGTTGTGCTGCAGCGCACCCGCAGCCCCCGGGGGTTATCAAAATGGGCATCCGCCGACCGACCTTTTCCGAAAATGTGCGTGTCACTCACTTTGAACACGTTTTTTGAGCTCTCGTGAAGTCGGTCGGTCGGTTGGTCGACCGGTCGGCCGATCGATGCTTATTGTGATAACCCCTCAACGCGCAGCAGACGCTATCGTTAGCGTTGCCTCGTGGGACGACCACTGTGGGGACACCTCGGACCGAAAAACCTTCCAGTCACCTTTGAACTCGGTTCGATAAAGTGAAACCTGGCGCGGGGAAGGGCTTAGAAATGTTACTCTGGCAGCGGCTATCGTTCGAATTTCGAAATTCTTTTTGCGGTATGGTGTATTCCTTATACAAAATTAATTTTGTGTTCCATATCCCC